AATTCATCCCCCATATAGTAATTCATCCCCCATATAGTAATTCATCCCCATATAGTAATTCATCCCCCCTATAGTAATTCATCCTCCATATTAAGTCCCCAAGTCCCCCCTGTGTCAATTCACTTACCTTTGCTCCGCGCGTTCCTCTCGCCGTGTTCCCGCGCCGTTCCGGTGTAGCATGAAAATCTGTCTCCTATGAGGATCTGTCCCCCTCGACGTATCTGCGCATGTGACAGTTTCAGGCATTAGCAGCCGATCGGCGATCTTCGGCACATGCGCAGATACGTCGAGGGGGACAGATCCTCATAGGAAACAGATTTTCATGCTACACCGGTCTTCAGGGCGGACTGTGGGAGGAGCCTAGCGGGAGCCTAGCTCCGCGGGCCAGATTAAAAGGTACGCCGGGCCATAGTTTGCCCATTGCTGCCCTATTGCCTGTCACCTGGTGGGCAGTGTGCTCCGGAGCCGCAGCCAAGGTGAAAAAGAGCCGCATGTGGCTCTGGAGCCGCGGGTTGCCAACACCCGGTCTAGGGGATGTTTTTTTGTGGATTTGCCAAAAACTTGAACAGGAGAGGAATAAGGGTGCAGGATACTATAAAACGTTATCAAAATCATGAGGAGGACAAACTTGATAGCACTAATCCTATAGCAGCAGACACACATGAAAGTCCTAAACTCGGTTCTTGCTCACAGTGTCCCAGGAGCTGTCTGCCACCCAGCTTCCACACAGCACTTTTTAGTGAGGGAGACAAAAGAATCTTTCTTCAGACTTGGATTCCCAAGGAATGCCCTCCAGGGGAATCAGCCTCAGGAGAAGTGGAACTGGCTAACAGAGGGAGAAGAAAACTCTGCACAGACCTCCCAAACATTTATCACCTCCCCAGCCACCTTCTGGACATCCCCTTCCAGGGATTGGCTGAGGTATGACAAATATTCACCATTCCAGCTCTATTTTCTGGAAGCTTCTTCCAGAAACAGGCAGGAGCAATCACCCGTACCCAGTTGATATAATTCCTCTTTGAGATTCTTTTTTTACAACATACACATCTACACCAGCAGAGGAAACATTTTATTTTTGTTTGATTTAGAAGACTAATGTAACACTCTTTGGGGAGGGTTATGAGAAATGACCATCCCCAAACAGGATAGTGTGCTAAACCTGGAAGTAAAAATAAGATAATGTAGCACCTTCTAGTGTGCTAGTAGAATAGTGTATTGTAGGTAAAATCATTATGTATGACTCATGGTAACTGTGTGAATCTGTGAGTGAGGTCAGGTTTTTGCAGGTCAGCTGGATGACTTAACAGGTTGTGGCTCTATCACCTCCTCTTGACTCTGGAGCACCATAGAACCTTCCAGACGTCAGTTAGCAGGAAAAGGGTGGAGACCTAATCTGCATGTTTATGGGAGTCCAGCCAATCCCAGGTTTGGAGGCCCTAGTAGAGTGGTAGACTGGCCCACAAAATATGGAAATGTCAGGCTGACAGAGGAGTCGGGTGAAAGGCAGAGTGCTGAGGAGACTGTTGGTGCCTGGGAGGGGTCCCCTAGGTCTAGGGGGGTTGGTCTCCAGGCTGGGCTTGGGCTGGTGCAGGAGGATACATTCAGCAGCGTAGCATGAATGGGATCGAGACCTGGAGCAGCAGGGAGCAAAGAGGAAAGAGTGAGTACAGCAGCACTCTCTGGGATCTACAATGGAAAAGACTGCTACAAGTAGCAAGCTTTCTAAGGACAACACTGGGCTCAGTTCCTTATCCTTCCCAGGAGATTTTCTGAGAAGCTAGGAGGGCTGGCAGTGTTTGTGGGCTGTGAAGCTGGGTGCAGCTGTACAGGGGGAGAGAAGATATCCCTGCATGTAGTTACTTAAGTTAAATTTGAGGGGCTGCTAGATCCTTCCCCATAAAGGGCTGTTGGTATTTTCTGCAACAACTGACGGCTTTCAAGAAAAGAACAGTTCAGGATCTGTCTTTGTACATAGGAAGGAAGTTGTCCCCCCTTTATTGATTCAAGTTAACTGGGCACCCCAAATTTTCCTATTTCCCTATCCAAGTTGATTACCCCTAATAAACAACAAAACCAAGCCCATGGACTGGTTACTGTCTCTTGGATGCAAGTCTGTGTGAGAAATACCTGTTGCCTGGATGTGCAAAGAGATGCTTAGGGGTACCCACAACACAGCTGCCCTTATGAGGGTGGTCCTACAATAACATGAACCTTCACTATGTGGAAGAGTGGGTTTAATAATAAATTAGGCAATGCCTCCACCCAGGACAAGCCCCCATAAGAACAGATGGGGTTCCCGTCCGGGGAAATTAACCAGTAATCTAATCAAAGTAATTGGGAGCAGGGGAACTATTGCTAGTACAGTGTCCAAAATCCTTCAACCCCCAATGCTGTAAAGGGGTTTAGGGACATGGTACATTTGGAATTGTATCAGAATCAAATCCTACAAGGATGTAACTACCCAAATGCAACTAAAATGACATCAATTGTTTATGTAATACAGTAGTAAATGGTTCTTATGTGGTTTCTTCATTGCCACAATTATTCAACCCTTAAAGACTACCACTCTGAAGAACAGAGGTTCATACAGGTGCTTTCCATCAGGTATTGAAAACACCTGTGGATGTCACCGAGCAGCAATCAAGCATAATAAGCACCAATTAGGCAGCTTTAAAATGACTGTGATACTCAGCTCCTTCTAGACATTTACTGGTGTGGTTACAAACATGGTGAAGGCAAGAGAATGGTCCAGGAAGACAAGAGAAGAGGTGATTTCTCTTCACAGGAAGGGCAATGGCTATAAGAAGATTGCAAAGATGTTAAACATACCAAGAGACACCTTAGGAAGCATCATTCGCAAATTCAAGGCAAAGGGCACTGTTGAAACGCTACCTGGTCGTGGCAGAAAGAAGATGCTGACTTCGACTGCTGTGCGCTACCTGAAGCGTAGAGTGGAGAGAAGTCCCCGTGTGACTGCTGAGGAACTGAGAAAAGATTTGTCAGATGTGGGTACAGAAGTTTCAGCCCAGACAATAAGACGCACTGCGTAATGAAGGCCTCCGTGCCAGAACTCCCAGGCGTACCCCTTGCTGTCTCCAAAGAATAAGAAGAGTCGACTGCAGTATGCCAAAAGCCATGTGGACAAACCACAAAAGTTGTGGGATAGTGTTCTGTGGACTGATGAAACAAAATTAGAACTGTTTGGGCCCATGGATCAAGCTATGTTTGGAGGAGGAAGAACAAGGCCTATGATGAAAAGAAACCTTGCCTACTGTGAAGCATTGGAGGGTCAATCATGCTTTGGGGCTGTTTTGCTTCTGCAAAAGGGAAGCTTAGCGTGTGCAAGGTACCCAATTCTCTTCAGTACCATGGAAACGTGATGCAGTCCTGTCACACACCTGAGGCTTGGGAGGTTGGACCTTTCAACAATGAACAAGATACCTCCAAGTCACTATGTGGAAGAAAAGTGGGTGGCCATCGCAGTCACCAACTTAAATCCATTGAGAAACTTAAAGAAAGCCTGCGCAAGCCTAAGAATGTGACTGAACTGGAGGCCTTTGCCCATGAAGACAAGATACCCGTAGATCCTGCCATAATGCTTCAAAAAGACTGTAAAAGGGTGTCCTAAGTACGTCACTTGGGGGGGATAATTAACAGTTATTTCAATCTAATTTGTCTGACCAAAGTAATGTGGGAGCAGATGGGATCAAAACAATGTAAATGCAAAAACACTAGTATATAACTGTATATAACATAAGCATGGCCATAAATATATAGATGCACACAAGTATGGAAATGATAAAAGCTTCAATAATAATGAAATACATTAATATTTGTACTTACATCCAATGTACAAACAGGTATTGTCAGCAAAGGGCCCAGCAAGTGTCCTGGTGAAATTGTGTACATATACCCACGCATATATAACTTTTAATAGAGATACCTCCAGATGAATGTTGCAGCAAAGTTCAGTTGCAGGGGCCCCTAAGGATGATCGTGATGCAACATCTGTCTTTGTGTTGGAGACCTGAAGATGAAGCAGTGACGGGGAGATCCTCCAACTACTAGAACGTAGGAATACTTGCCTAATAGCCACTGCTTCTGGCCTGGGTAAAATACAGCAGCTCCTGTGTGTATTAGGTCATATGACTTATCTTTATATAACATCACAGTCTTCCTATCAGGGTTTCTGACCCAGCTAGCAGGAAATGGAAGTACCTGTCTGTAACCAACACTGACGTAATTAATAAGTAAAAACTGTTTACAAATACAGACAGTAGATGGCAGCAGATTCCTACACTAAATTGCTTGTCAACACAACGTTTGAGCCAGCAACAATTGTATAACATTTTTAAAATTTTCTGCAGCCAGAAAAAGAATTTGAAAAAAAAGGGCCATGCATTATGTTCAGAATATGTAATGCTGAAGAAGACTGTCATGACCTGCAGATATACCAGAGGGTCAGACATGGTGGGAGCACTACAGGTTTGGTGAGGACTGGAAACATTGCAGAAGACAGTAAGAGGCTTGGGATATGATACATGAGGCTAGCAGAGATCACTACTATAGCCCCTTTAAAATCATTTATCCTAAAGTGCCACATGCAATAAAAAGTTTGTTTTTGAACCTACATTTTGAAACAGTTTAGTTGGGCTTTTTGGGATGACTAGCTGAATTGATTGTTTGGAAGTCTTGGTGTTATTCCCTCTTGGAGATGTTAAATTTCTAGAAATTTTGCAGCCATGGGAAAAAAAGTTTTTTTTTCCTAGAAAAAAATGGAAATTTTGGAAAAAAAACTGGAAATTAAGTCAGTTTTACAAACCCATAGTCATTTTGTTACACTAGGAAGGTGAAATGCACTGTATATAAAAGTATTATGCTTGAAATAAAAGTACAGCTTATTAACTTCTTGCTAACCGCAGATAGCCAAATGACGGCTACACTGCGGCTCCCAGAACGCGCTCTCCTGCGCGCCCCCAGGGGCGCCCACCCGGCGATCTCCGTGATCACTGTGCCCTACGGACACAGCTGATCACGTGATGTGGTAAAAGGCCAATCACAGCGGCCTTTTACCACGTGATCGGCCATGTCCAATGACACGCTGATCACCGGGAAATGCAATTGCCGGTTCTCGGCTGCACTTTCCTCACACTGTCAGAGTGCGAGGAAAGTACTGCCGAGAACTGGCAGTTGTCAGAGCAGGGATCGGCACCGATCATCAGGGCACTGATGATCAGTGCCCTGATGATCGGTGCCCAGCAGTGCCACCCACCAGTTCCGCCCATCTGTGCCCAGCAGTGCCGCCCAACAGTACCCAGAGGTGCCACCCACCAGTGCCCAGCAGTGCCACCCATCAGTGCACCCACCTGTGCCCAGCAGTGCCACCTACCTGCGCCCCGCAGTGCCCACCCATCTGTGTCCAGCAGTGCCACCCACCTGTGTTCACAAGTGCCACTCACCAGTGCCCATCAATGCAGTGCTGCCAGTCAGTGCCACCAGTCAGTGCCCAGTGGTTGTGCCAGTCAGTGCCCAGCAGTTGCGCCAGTCAATGCCTAGCAGTGCCACCAGTCAGTGCCCAGCAGTGATGCCAGTCAGTGCCACCTATCAGTGCTGTCCATCAGTACCCATCATCAGTGCCGCATATCAGTGCCGCCTATCCGTGACAGCTCATTAGTGCTGCCTATCAGTGCCGCCTATCCGTGCCACCTCATTAGTGCTGCCTATCATTGCCATCTATCAGTGCCCATCAGTGCCGCCTATCAGTGCCCATCAGTACTGCCTCATCAACGCACATCAGTGAAGGAGAAAAATTACCTGTTTAAAAAATGTTATAATAGAAACAAAGAAAAATAGTTTTTTTTTTTCAAAATTTTTTGCACATTTTTTGTTTATAGCGCAAAGAGTAAAGTGCCCAGCAGTGATTAAATATCACCAAAAGAAAGCTCTATTTGTGAGAAAAAAAATGATAAAAATTTCATATGGGTACAATGTTGCATGACCGCGCAATTGTCAATCAAACTGTGACAGCGCTGAAAGCTGAAAATTGGCCTGGTAAAGAAGGGGGTATAAGTGCCTGGTAGGCAAGTGGTTAAGTAAATAAACTAAACTTGCTTTTTAAAATTGTATTTCTTACTACAAATGGAATAGGAAGCACTGTATGCATTAAGAACATTTCAACTATACATGAGAACAGGTGACAATGCTGATCCAAAAGAATATATTGCTCTTGCAAGAGCTTGATCATTCTTCTCCGACTTTCAGGTGTCATTTTATCTATAAATGAATGGATTGTGTATTTTTGGGAGGTCGTAGTTTGCAACTCTTCCTTCCTTGAAGATGGTGCTTAGTGAAGAAACACTTTGTGATGATCCAGAAACACCAGAAGGAGTGTTTCTTGAATGGGAACTCTGGAGGGAAAAGCTACACGCACTTTCATTATGGTCCTCATCATTACATTCCATAAACTATTTTAATGTCTTTAAGGTACCTCTGGCATGTAATGATATGTTTTGTTATCTATGTAGCATTTAGAAATGAATATTCACAATATTTGCAAATTACAGCTTTGCTCTCAGGAGAATTTGCACTGTGGAAATGTTTCCAAACTCTAGATGTTGGTCTCATTATTTTACTGAGAGGAGGAAAAGAAAAAACAATGTACTGAGCAGACTATAGGTAAACATTATTCTGTGATGGTGGAGAACATTTATAGAAATCATTTAAAGGTTATAAAGATAAATTTGTCAAATTTACCCTCTTACTTGAATCAATGAAGGCCTGAGAGGACAGAAACTATCATCTATTGTATCCCAACAATCACCCAACTGTAGGAGATACAAGATGGAGCCCACAGGCAAACTAACTGGAGCCTTTTCCCTGCAGTGCCCCCTAGTGACAGAAATGCACATTTCTCTTGTCTAAGAACTGCATTGACAAGTACAGTGTTACTTGAATTGTATTCCAGGATTGCTTGTCTTCAGCTGAGAGTTTGCAATCATTTAAATTGACACTAATTTTTAATGGCAAACATGTCATACTTACCTGCTCTGTGCAGTGATTTTTAAAAAAGCAGCCCTGATCCTCTTCTTTTCGGGTCCCCGCTAGTGCTCCTTGCTCCTCCTCCTCAAGCAGCCCTGGGGGCACCACTGTATGCTCATCCCTGAGCCGCTGCTCTATGGGTCCATAAGACACATAGAGCTGTGGCTCGGCCCCATCCATCCACTTTCTCCTTATTGACTCACTAGCAGAAGTGCATTGGCTCCTGCTGCTGTCTCAGCCAATGAGGAGGAAAAGTCCCCAGACAGCAGAGGCTGTCAAGAACATCACTGGGTTGGAGGGGGCTCAGGTAAGGATTGTGGGGGCCACTGCACACAGAAGGTTTTTTAACCTTCCTGCATAGAATACATGAAGTAAAAAACCTTGAGCCTTTAGAACCACTTTAAAACTACATAAAGTCTCAGAAATCTTTAAATAAAGTCCTCAGGTTATATAGTTTGAATATCATGTCATATATATATATTATTTAGCATTGTAAATTAACATATTCCATACTTCTTACTTTTTTATTTTTCATTTTCTCTAGAAAAAAAAACAAGAAATGCCAAAAAAACAAAATATAAACCTGTCTTTTTTCCCAATTTTTCCATCTTCCCATTTCTATTCCCTCCCTAGGCTCCCCCCACCAAATAATATTCCATTGACATAGACTTGGCTGGCCTCACGGTTTTGATACTAAAGTGTTTCATGGCAGGGAGAGAGGCTGTGCTAAGAGGTTTAGTTGATCAAATCATGTCATTTAAGCACAAATGTTTGGACCACCAGTGGAAGGACAACATTGTTTTGTCATAGCAGTAAGGTAAGTACAATATATAGTGTTTAAAGGGTTGGGATATGATGTATTAAAGGTTAAGGATAGGGGCCATGCACACTAGGCAGCAGAAATGCCAAAACTGCTGTAAAACAAAGCAGCATAAAAAATGCTCCTATGGAGCACATTGTTTAGGCATGTTTCCAAGTGTTTGCATTCATAAGCATTTTTCCCCAAAACACTCAAAAAATGCATACTTGACACACCTACATATCACATTTAGGTGTGTTTATGTGCATTTAGGTGCCTCAAGCATTTTTTCTGCCTGAAAGCTGATCTAAAAAATGCACATGTGATGTTTTTTTTTTTCCAGCCTGTAAACACTCCTCTACAAATATGCCCATAAAAACCCAAATGTGCATGCACACAGGCTAACAGAGTTGCGTCTACAGTTTGAAAGAAAAAATGGAAAATGCCTGTATAAGCCACCTTTTTTATGCAAAGTGTGCTTGAGGCCTAAGGATTAAAGTCCAACCCCTGGCTCAGAAAGCTGTGCATTGGCTTTAAAAATAGGTAAACCCTAACAAGAACTTTTCTTATTTGCTCTCTTTTGTGTGTTAAATATAGAATTGAAAGCATTTTGTTATACATATGTTTGATAAGTGTAAAAATTACTGATCGTGCCAGAAATCTACTGGGTGACACATTTCGGTAGAATCTGCTCTGCTGAGCTCCTATCAGATTCATGATTCTCAGTTTTTCTGTGTAATACACTCTTGGACAGGAAGTCTGGTACTGACAGGGTCACCAAGTAAAATTAATGGAAAAGTTAAACTAAAAAAAAGAAAACTAATGCAACCATCACATACAAGGACTCTTAAGATCAGGGGCGTATTTACCACAAGGCAAACAAGACATTTGCCTAGGGAGGCATTTTTTAGGGGGGCAGCAGTGCCCCCTGGAAGAAGGGACATATGCGGCATGGGGACCAGGTGGGATCCGAGTGGGCTGGGGGCTGCTTGATGGTGTATGCAGAGCCTGTCTGTCGTTCCCTGGGGATGTACAGATCTGTAAAGTGAGTGTCTTTTTCTTTGTCGTCGGAGGGTGGGGGGTGTTAGTGGAAGGGGGGGATGGGGCAGGGGTGTTTTTGGTCACTGTCAGGCTCTCTCTGTGCTAGGGGGGGGATTTTGGTGTTGGTGTCAGTTACTCTCTCTGCCGGGTAGGGGGGGTGTCCGTTTTTTGTGTTGCAAGGGCAGCACAAAACCTGCATACACTACTGCATAAGCTGCAGTATATTACATGTTTGTTCTTCTGTTCAGGCTGGTTCAAAGTTAAAGTGGTATATCAGCAACAGGGGCGGACTGACCATTTGGAAACTCGGGCACTGCCCGAGGGCCCAGGGGGTCAGTAGGGGGCCCCATGAGATGCCCCTGGTACCTTTTTCCTAGGCTTTTTTTGAGTTTGGGCAAGGACACAGGGGCCCCATGATCCCCTATTGCCCGGGGGCCCCATGAGTCGTCAGTCCGCCCCTGATCAGCAATTAAATGATTATAGATCTAATAAAAGGAGGGTTTGGTGTTAGAGGACATTTTAGTGTTATGGATGTTTGACTGACAATAATATTTAGTGCCACAATCCCCTCACTGAGAATAACACAATGTCCATTCATTGCTACAAGTCCAAACTTTGAAGAACAATTTTTTTTAATCCATTTGCAGCCAAATACTAAAGGCAGACTTATGTAAATAGCTTTTATAATTTTATAATAATTGATGAATTTTGGGTTTTGCATGTCTTTTCTTATTTAGAAAAATATGTGCTGATCTATTATTTGATGGTGTTGATGAATACTTGTATATACCACAGCTGGGGAAAGTAGAGATGAACTTTCTACACCTTTAATAAATCAACATTGTGTATAATCTAATGTTCTTACTGAAGCTTTTTTTTAGGAATTTACTTGTAAAAATATTGAAAAAAATATTGTAAATAATGGGAGACGCACAATTGGGAGATTGACTAAAACTGGAGCACACAGAATCTGGTGCAGCAGTGCATAGTAACCAATCAGCTCTAGGTTTTAATGAACAAGCTGAAGTTAGGCTCAGTTCACACTAGCTTTGTCAGCAGGCGTCAGACAGGCGTTTGGGAAGCATTTTTAATGTTTCTCAAATGCCTATGAAAATTCTGCACATGGCAGCACACAGTACTGTTCATACTGAAGCGCTAACGTCGAGGCAAAACTGACGCCTTGGGGTTTATTTACTAAAGCTGGAGAGTCCAAAATCAGACTCCCTTCTGCATAGAAACCAATCAGCTTCTAACCTCAGCTTGTTCAATGAAGCTTTGGCAATGAAACCTGGAAGCTGATTGGTTTCTATGCAGAAGTGAATCTGATTTTGCACTCTCCAGCTTTAGTAAATAAACCCCCTTGTGTCGAGTCAGAAGGAGTTGATGCCTCCCATTCAAGTCTATGGTGCCGCTCTGCAAACGCCTGGCAGGCGTTTGCAGTGTGCAGTTGCGACATGGTTTGCGAGGCGGTTGTGGAGCATTAATACCATTTTAATTTCATTATAGGCATTTGTGGTGCAGTTTTAATGCTTGGCAAATGCCTATCAACCGCCTCAAAACCGAGCATAGGGCATTTGGGGAGCGTTTGAGGAGCATTAAAAACGTTTCCCAAACGCCTG